TCTCTCCTCCTCTTCCTGCTTCCTCATCACACACTCACCTGCCAGCCCATGATAACTCCACCTCCCTCCCCTCCCTCCCCTCCCTCTCTCTCCTCCCCTCTCCCTTCCTCCTCACACACTCACCTGCCAGCCCATGATAAACTCCAGCAACTTCAGAGACAGTAGGCGACTCGAGCTGGTCAATTCTTGCAAACTGGAACAAAGGGAGACAACACACAGTCAGCAAACCTGACTAAAATCCAGGGTCAAAAGTAGGAATTTGCCTCACAAACCTCCCTAAAAATCAGAGTTTGAGGAAAAAACATCCGAGTCTCCAAAATTGCACTAGATTAAAATAACTTTTAGTTTTAGTTCTTGTACGAGTTTTACGGCACTTGCAACACAATAAGGTCAAGTAAGTGCCGAAGAATAGATGTGTCACAAGAGAGAAACATACACAAAAAAAGAGGAGGAGAGATAAGAACAATATATGTTTTATAGAAAAGAAGGAGAAAACCATACCAGAGCACCCGCCAACCACCCACTTAAAACAATTATAGGTACCTACTGTGGCAAATAAACATGTATTTCAAATACACCTCAATAAACATGAAAACACATGTGTATTTTCACATCATTAACATTAAGGATTAAGTTTCACATATATTGCAAATAAACTCAAATAAACCTGTGTATTTTCATATTGTTTGCGATATGTTGCGCTTGACCAATAAAAACAGAATTATAGAAAAAAAAGTATGATTTTTAAAATAAACCCAATCGAGGATCTTCAACACGCAAAACAAAAAAATGGGAGGGCTCTGATTATATGTCTGACTTAGCCAACAGCTTTCACAGTAAAACACAGCAATGTATATTATTACGGTGTAATTATCTTGGCCACTCTTTACCGTTGCTCTTTTATCTAATTTATTTTCAGTAAGATTTGATGGCACTTGCAATGCAAATTATAACACAAACAGGCCATAGAATTGCCGAAGATTAGAGGTGCTACTGGAGAGTGACATACATAAAAAAGAAGGAGGAGACAGAGTTAGTTTAGTTTTAGTAAGGTTTTACAGCGCTCGCAACTGCATAAGGTCATATGAGCGCTAAGGGGTGATTGTCAACAGAGAAGTCCAAACAGGGAATCAGGCTTACTCAGCTCACCTCTCTAGCCTCAACAGCACAAAGTCTGCTTCGACTATCAAAGCACCCCAGAAATAGCAGTATACAAGAGAGAGACAAACATACAAAAGAAGTAGAGGAAAAATGACAATAGTAAGGATGAGGAAAGAAAAAGCTCAGTATGAGCATGAAATTGATATTTCAGCCCATTTACAATTCTACTGTGCTAAAGAACATGTTAATATTCCCCCTTCGGGAATGGTCTAAAGACACTTCAGTCAGTAGCACTGGCTGGAGGAGAGAGAAGGACGATAGATGTTTGATATATATAGGAAAGAACGTTCAAACTACACTAGAACACCCGCCAACCTCCCACCAACAGACGTAAAAAGAGAACAAAGCCACGAGCGTTCACTGGCTCACCTCTCCTGTTTGAAGAGCCCGAGCTTTGTGATGCGGCCACACACTTGTCTGTTGAGGGCGGTGTCGAACAGCGGCAGACCGAAGCACAAGTCCAGCAGCAGCCACTCCTCTTCCTTCAGAGGCTCAGCAGACCGCGACGACGAGGAAAGAGACGAGGACGCGGCCGAATCCTTCAGCTCTTGCGACTTCACATCCAGATGCAGGCCCGCTTTCCCCGCCCCACCATCTCCCCCACCCCCCGCCCCGGCCGCCTCGAGGCTATCCAGCTCCGAGGTGAGAACCTCCGCCGAGTGCTTGTCTTTTATTCCGTTGTGCGGCAATAACGCAAGGTCTGAGTCGGACATTTCCGTCGCCGAACCGCTAGCCGTCGTGTCGCTTTGCGCGCTCGTTGCCATGGCCGCAGCGGCTGATGCCGATTCGTCTGCTCCGCTAGACGGGACGCTGGGGTCGGAGATCATGGCCGTCCCCGGGACGAGTGGCTCCCCTTCAAGGTCATCCTCGTGAACTTCCTCCTTGTGGGGGTTGAGCAGCGTGACGTAGCCGCAGGTGTGGGTCAGGTCGAGGGTCTCCGACAGACGGCTCATCACGACGTGGCACTGGTGGTGGCCTTCGGAGAATGTGCCTAGGGACAGGGAGGGGGGACAGAGGGAGGGAGAGAGAGGAAGAGAGTGAGTGAGAGAG